ACACTCCAGCTCCCAGGTGGTCCAGTCATTCGTACGGTTGTTCGGTAGATTGAAACTACCGAACAACCGGCAGAAAAGCACGAATACAGCTTTTCTGCATGCAAAAATAAAGTCTTTTACAAAGGGGCCATAGTCCAAAGGCAGCAGGCGAGCAACCAGGCTTCTCCAATGCAATGTGGCGAGATTGGTCTCGTCACAATGCGAACATCGGCCGTTCGGGAGATTGAGAACACACAAAAGACTTAACCCAGATAGCCCACCCATGGAGTCATTCGTGTACCGAAGGACTGTAAGAACTTTGACTCCATGGCGATTGAACTATGTGTGTGGGATCTGAGCGCTATTCGCCAATAATATGCACTCAGATCCAGGCTATCTGGGGACATGTAATACGAATGGGAAATGTTCAGTCTTCATGTAGTTATGCAATTTTGTGTCTTTTATTATTTCATGTTTAAGATGGCGACTGTCCTTGTCCTGGAGTTAATTGAGTTACTTGGTAATTAACTCCAGGACAGAGGGGAGGGAATCGGAATGTACTGTGGGTAAAATATGTGACTGTGTGTCAGAAATGTCCTGCTATCTGTCTGTACTTTAAGTCTTCCATTTGGTCCCCTAGGGGAGTGTCCACCAGGTGGGAGACCTGCATAGATACGGGCAGGTAGCCCACAGTAAACCCAGATCTTATTTGACCCTCAATGCGGAGCTTCTGTCTCGTTATTGGGGGGATTTCTTCTTCACGTTTAGAGACCGCTGGATGGAACGAAAGCCGCTTTGGGGATATTATTGTTCGACGGTTCCTAGCAGTTCGTATATTGCCGTTCGGGAGTTTGGAGCCGTTCGTGGATTTCGATCGGGAGATTGCCGCTTCCCCCGCATTTGGTTCGTGGGTTACAGAGTAAGCGAACAGAGACTGTACTGCAGCCGGGGAAGGTTTACTAAACGGCGGTTTGGCTTAAAGACACGGGAGGTGTCTTAACAGAGATCACTAAAACATGTCAGTGTTTAGTGAATGAGCCCCCTCGGCTTTCAGTTCACTACAAACAACATTTATTGACTAAAACAGTAATTTCCCTCAGCATTCTTGGTAATAATGGATAACGCTGTGGGTGATACTGTAACCCGATTAGCATTCTGGGTAATAATGGATAACGCTGTGGGTGATACTGTAACCCGATTAGCATTCTGGGTAATAGTGGATAACGCTGTGGGTGATACTGTAACCCGATTAGCATTCTTGGTAATAATGGACGCTGTGGTATTGCAGCGATTAGCATTCTGGGTACGTAATAATGGATAGCGCTGTGGGTGATACCCTTGTAACCCGATTAGCATTCTGGGTAATAATGGATAGCGCTGTGGGTGATACTGCTTAACCCGTTAGCGCATTCTGAGTAATAATGGATAGCGCTGGCAGGTGATACTAGCAACCCGATTAGCATTCAGGTAATAATGGATAGCGCTGTGGGTGATACTGTGATTAGCATTCTGGGTGTAATGGATAGCAGCTGTGGGTGATACTGTAACCCGATTAGCATTCACAAGGTGTAATGGATAGCAACACTGTTGGTGATACTGTAACCCGATTAGCATTCTGGGTAATAATGGATGCGCTGTGGAAGTACTGTAACCCGATTAGCATTCTGGGTAATAATGAATAACGCTGTGGGTGATACTGTAACCCGATTAGCATTCTGGGTAATAATGGATAACGCTGTTGGTGATACTGTAACCCGATTAGCATTCTGGGTAATAATGGATAACGCTGTGGGTGATACTGTAACCCGATTAGCATTCTTGGTAATAATGGATAACGCTGTGGGTGATACTGTAACCCGATTAGCATTCTGGGTAATAATGGATAACGCTGTGGGTGATACTGTAACCCGATTAGCATTCTGGGTAATAATGGATAACGCTGTGGGTGATACTGTAACCCGATTAGCATTCTGGGTAATAATGGATAACGCTGTGGGTGATACTGTAACCCGATTAGCATTCTGGGTAATAATGGATAACGCTGTGGGTGATACTGTAACCCGATTAGCATTCTGGGTAATAATGGATAACGCTGTGGGTGATACTGTAACCCGATTAGCATTCTGGGTAATAATGGATAACGCTGTGGGTGATACTGTAACCCGATTAGCATTCTGGGTAATAATGGATAACGCTGTGGGTGATACTGTAACCCGATTAGCATTCTGGGTAATAATGGATAACGCTGTGGGTGATACTGTAACCCGCTTAGCATTCTGGGTAATAATGGATAACGCTGTGGGTGATACTGTAACCCGCTTAGCATTCTGGGTAATAATGGATAACGCTGTGGGTGATACTGTAACCCGATAAGCATTCTGGGTAATAATGGATAACGCTGTGGGTGATACTGTAACCCGATTAGCATTCTGGGTAATAATGGATAACGCTGTGGGTGATACTGTAACCCGATTAGCATTCTGGGTAAGAATGGATAACGCTGTTGTTGATAGTGTAAGCAGTTTAGGCCCTGGGGAGATATCGCAGCTAAGCGGTGTGGGGATGGATGCGTGTGATTGGTTGTGTATGAATGTATGGGTGGGATTATGTGGTGTGTGAGTTTAGTGGTCTTACCTCAGTGCCACTTGGGATTCGGGCCAGCAAACAGCTTCCCTCCCGCCCGCCCCATGGGTTTGTTTCATCACAGCTAGCCGGGGGTATGTCTTTGCCAATTAAGTTTGAGGCGGTTAGGTTAGTTATGTGGAATGAAGTGAGCAAGTTTCAGGTCTCAACCTCCCCTGCTCTAAAGGGTTAGGTTACCTTTATGTCGTGCCAACCAAGCGAGGAAAAGGTCGGCTGGTGGTAAGCATTGGAAGGAAAAGGAATTTATGCCGAAAGGGGAGATGTGAAGAAGTGGTACATAGGCGCATGGTCAGTTAATTGGCAAGGATGGTTGGGTTACACTGTATGACACTATGTGTTAAGTTATATGTTAAGTTATGGTTATTTATGTTTTGACGTTTTGGTTATATCAAAGAAAAGAGAATATTAAAATAAGTTATGGGTATGTTATACAGTAATTATTGTAGCGGAACGCCAATATAAAATCCACGAATTCCGCTGGTCCAGAACGAATCCACAGTCAAGCGCTGAAAACACCAAGGCAATATCCCCAACCTCCCAATAACCGGACGAGACACAGTTTTGGGAGTCAACTGACAATCCTTTATTCAGCACGACAATTTATATAAGTCCCCATGCAAGGGGTCTCCTGAGTCCCTTCCCAGGGGCATTCCCAGAGGGGACTACATGGGGGACTTACAGTATAACATATTTCTCCCATCAGGCACTGCTGCACGAGAGGGATCATCCTCCCAGAATGCACCGTTAAGGGGATTATCCCCTCGTGCAGCAGAACCGGCAATTCATACAAAAATACATAACTTTTAAAATACACGGTGGATTTACACGAATGGACGTTCGGTAGATAGCTGGGGTCTGGGCGCATCATTCGTGAGATTGCCGCTCAGATCCCAGCCAAATTAACCGAACGCCGCACAGAAAACACATTTCTTACAAAACCCACAAAAGGAACCGATTGCTTTGGGTGAACTTGGTCCTGAAACTCCCGAACGTCTGGGAGGCTCAGCGGTGTTCGTGCCGTCGAATAACTATTGGTAGTAGTATGCGTTCGACGACACGACCCCGCTGACGAACAAGGGATCCAAGATGGCCGACCGCCGCATGGTCGGTAGTCGAACGACGGCCACCCAGGAGAGCCTCTAATAACCGATTGCAACAGTATTACAGGCAACACGGAAAATACCTTAACATCTACATATGTGTACAGCGCATATCTCGCCCGACCTAGTGGCAACCCTTAAAGGCACAGTCTCTAGTTATTGTCCAAGTGGCTAGGTTTGCCACAATGCTCCCCCAGAACCAAGCCGGCATACACAGCCTGATCCCAACGGATCGGCTTGGGGATGTCCGGGGGAGTGCTCACAGATCACTTCTCAAGGTCTGTTTGTCTGGACAACCCGTCGGCATTACCGTTTTGTTTCCCTGGGCGGTAGTGAATTGTAAAGTCAAAGGGCTGCAGCGCCAAACTCCAGCGCAGCAGCCTGGCATTGTCTCCAGCCACACGGTTTAGCCACACCAACGGGTTGTGATCTGTGAGCAAAGAAAAGGGTTGCCCATAGAGATACGGCTGTAACTTTTTCAGGGCCCACACCACGGCCAGGCATTCCTTTTCTATGGCGGCGTAGCTCACCTCTCGGGGTAACAGTTTCCGACTCAAGTATGCTACGGGGTGTTCTCCGCCATCGGCTCCGACCTGGCTCAGTACTGCTCCCAATCCAAACATTGAGGCGTCTGTGTGAACAAGAAAACGTTTAGTTGGATCAGGAGCAGCCAGTACAGGGCATTGGTCAGAGCCGTCTTCAGCTGGTTGAATGCCTGTTCACACTCTGGGGCCCAGACGACCTGCCGGGGCAGGTTTTTCTTCGTCAAATCAGTCAGGGGTTTGGCCAGGGCACTGTAGTTGGGTACAAATTTTCTGTAATACCCTGCGGTACCTAGGAAAGCCAGGACTTGGGTTTTGGTCCTAGGGGTAGGCCACTGGGCTACAGCTTCAATCTTTGCGGGCTCAGGCTTCTGCTGCCCGCTACCAACCCGGTGTCCTAAGTACTGGACCTCTGCCATCCCTATGTGGCATTTGCTGGGTTTCAAGGTAAGCCCTGCCTCTCGAATCCGGTCTATTACTGCCCCTATGTGTTGTAGGTGTTCTGCCCAGGTCTGACTGTAGATGGCAATATCGTCCAGATATGCACACGCATAGTCCTGGAACCCGTCCAGTAGCCGATCCACCATCCGCTGGAATGTCGCGGGGGCGTTCTTCATCCCGAATGGCATGACTCGAAATTGGTACAAGCCAAACGGGGTGACAAACGCCGACTTAGGAATGGCGTCCTCGGCTAGTGGAATTTGCCAGTATCCCTTACACAAATCTATGGTAGTGAGATACTGACCCCTGGCCATCCTATCAAGCAGTTCGTCTATCCGAGGCATCGGGTAGGCGTCCGACACAGTTTTGTCGTTCAACCTCCGGTAGTCCACACAGAACCGGGTGGTACCATCTTTCTTGGGAACCAGGACTACCGGCGATGCCCAGGGGCTATCTGAGTGTTCAATAACCCCCAACTGCAACATCTCTTCGATTTCCTTCCTCATATGTTCCCGCACGGATTCAGGAATCCGATATGGAGTCTGTCGCATGGGAAGCTGTCCCGGGGTTTCTACTCGGTGGGTGGCTAGTGGAGTGTACCCAGGTAGATTAGAAAAGGTAGCGCTCTTTGCTGCTATCAGTTCTCGTACCTGAATACGCTCTTGAGGACTTAGCCGCTCCCCCAGTTGAACCCCCTGGGAGGGTTCCTTCTGCTCCTCCTGCTCTAACAGATCGGGAAGGGGCAGGTTCTCCTGATCTTCGGAGGCGGGCGTGCAAATAGCTGCCACGTCCTCCGTCCGCTCGTGGTAGGGTTTGAGCATGTTCACATGGAGCATGCGTCTCTTCCCTACTCCGGAGCATGGGCCGATCACATAGGTGGTATCGCATCTCTGCTCTACCACCTGGTATGGGCCCTGCCAGACGGCCTGTAGTTTATCGGTGCGGACTGGTTTAAGGATTAGCACCTTCTGCCCCACTTGAAAACTACGGTCTCTGGCCCCTCTGTCATACCAACGACGCTGTCGTTGTTGGGCGGCCTGGAGGTTGGTGCGCACCGCCTGGGTCAATTCCTCCAGGCGATCCCGGAACGCCAGCACGTAGGGTACAATAGGGGTCCCATCTGCACTACTCTCTCCCTCCCAATGCTCCCTAATGAGATCCAACGGCCCCCGGACCCTTCTCCCAAACAATAGTTCAAAGGGGGAAAAACCCGTAGACTCTTGGGGCACCTCTCTGTATGCGAACAACAGATGGGGAAGGAATCGTTCCCAGTCCTTATGGGTCTCTCCGAATGTTCGAAGCATCTGTTTTAGGGTACCGTTGAATCTCTCACATAATCCATTGGATTGCGGGTGGTACGCGGAGTTAATGATCGGCTTTATGCCACATATCCTCCATAACTGCTGAGTAACCTCAGCCGTGAATTGGGTCCCCCTATCTGAGACCATTTCCTGTGGGAACCCTACTCGGGAGAAGATTTTCATCAAGGCTTCGGCTACGGTCTCCGCGTGGATATTAGTTAGGGCAATCGCCTCGGGGTACCGGGTGGCGTAGTCCACCACGGTCAGGATATACCGTTTCCCAGAGGGGCTGGGCTTTGGTAGTGGTCCTACTATATCTACTGCTACCCGGCTGAACGGTTCCTCAATTATGGGGAGGGGACATAGTTTTGCCTTATGGCGATCCCCCCTTTTGCCTACCCTCTGGCACACATCACAGGAGGTACAATATTGCCTTACGTCTTTGGAAATCCCGGGCCAAAAGAATGCGTGCGTTAAGCGATATCGGGTCCGGGTCATCCCTAGATGGCCGGACAGAGGGATGTCATGGGCGATTCTTAGTAACTCCTGCCTATATTTCTGGGGTACTACTAGCTGCTTGGTTTGGAGCGTCACAGAGCTGCCTATGGCCCGTTCCGCCACCCGGTACAGTAACTTCTTTTCCCATACGTACCGTTCTCCCTCCCGCCCCACCTGGTCCGTGTCTACCCTATCTCGGTACACCTGCAGTGTGGGGTCTGTCTGAACCTCAGCTTCAAATGTGGTCGGGGTGTCCCAAGTCATGTCGGTCAAGGGGGGGTCATGGTGTCTTACCTGAGCCTCAGAGTGTGCGGGGGATGCCGTGGTGCGAGCCTGTTGCCGGGTGGTTACCGGATGCGCCTCTTGGGAAGGGGCCTGGGGAAGAAACGCAGAAGTCATCGGGCCCAAGTCATTCCCCAAAACAACATCGGCCGGTAGTTTCTTCATTATGGCCACCTCTACAACCCCCTCCCCAGCACCCCAGTTCAAATGCACTTTGGCCGTGGGTAACCGGTACATAGCTCCCCCTGCTACCCGGACTGCCACTGATCCGCCAGTGTGGGCCGTATCTGGAATTAAATGAGGGGCCACTAAGGTCAAGGTGGCTCCCGAGTCCCGCAGCCCCTGCACTTCTTTCCCTCCCACAAATACAACTTGGCGATGATGCTGCCGGTTGTCCGTGGCTTGCACCGACATCACCTCGTACAGAACCCCCAATGGTTCTTCGGTTGATAGACTTGTCAGCTCCGAGTGGTCCGGTTCGGTGTGGTAGAAATGGGCCACTGCCCTTGGCGCGGAGTGTAGCGGAACGCCAATATAAAATCCACGAATTCCGCTGGTCCAGAACGAATCCACAGTCAAGCGCTGAAAACACCAAGGCAATATCCCCAACCTCCCAATAACCGGACGAGACACAGTTTTGGGAGTCAACTGACAATCCTTTATTCAGCACGAC